TGACTGATTTAATCTATCTAGTGTAGTAGTTCTGTCTAACGAGTCTTTATCGCCCTCAATTGTATGTGTTGACCGGGTCTTTTCTTGTTGGATCTCGGCACTTGTGTTTCACTCCTGTGTTTCACCCATCTTTACTAATGGATCCAGTCAATATTTAGGGTCAGAGTCTCTTGTAGGTGGTGCTCACTTGCAACTAATTTATATAACTTTGTTTTTGTAAAATGAAATTTGTTAGGAAATTATGTCTCCTAATAATAATTGTGGGCCACATATTTATAACAATTATATTGACGCTATTTAATTAATTGAGCTAATTAAGTTGTCTAATTATAGAGAGCCCAAATAGTCTTCTAACTAGGTATGAGTAAATGAGTGGATACCTAATATTGATCCAATTAGGTTTAATGGGAGACTAATGGGACAATATATAAAGAAGCTTAGGTTATGGTCCCCAATACGTAAAATCATTCGGTCGTTTTCCCTCTTCCCTATCTAGAGAGAGAACACCCATTTAAGAATCTGGTGATTTGACTGAGGAAGATAATAACTCGACGTGGTCGTTGGCTTAGAGATTTGTACTGGAGATTAAGGCGCACCAATGGAGATAGGTATTTATTTTAACCTATTTTCTTAGAATTTAGTGTGATGATTCCTGGAATGTGGAATAAGGTTTTAAAGTCTAACAAGTGGTATTAGAGTAGTCATCACATTAAATTATTGAGAAAATTTTTATCTCCAATATCTCTAGTTCAATATTATGTGGATTGATTCATATGATTTTACTTTTATCTATGGAATTTATGATATGCTTTATTTTGTTAAGAAAAGCTTGTATATTGATAATCATATGAATTCTTGGTAATTGATTTTGATCAAAATTAGTTGAATAATTTAAGATTAATCGTTATTCACAAAATTGATTTTTTGGAAAATTAGGGATTAAGGAAATTTGGTAAAGCAATTTATTAAAGAAGTTTTTTTTTTTGTTTGTGAAATTTTTTTTTTCTTCGGATTGAAGATTGTGGCCGGCGGTGCTGAGGAAACAAGGGCGCGGCCATTAGGCCACGCCGATGGGCTAACCGCGACCTATGGCCGACAGATTTAAAAAAAAAATTTCATGGCCGGCGGCCGCATCTGCCGCCGCTGGCACTATGGATGACCGATCGCAGCCTTCTGGCTGTGCCGATGACGGAACAACCGTGGTGAATCACCGCAGCTGCACATAGTGGCAGCCAAAACATCTGGTCAAGGGTCACGTTGTCGCGACCCTAGGGTTGAAGCATGATGAGTGCGTAATTTATGCACTCATTCGTTACTCCTTCAGCTAGTTTCGGAGTGTTTTTCCTCAAGTTGTTATGTGGATTTGATGGTTCTCCCTTGAGTGTGTAGGAATGGGTGAAATCGCTGAGTTTTTAGGAATTTTGGATCAAAAAGACAGAGAACGAGGCGATTTACAGATGGCGACACGGCGCGAAAAGGAGCAAAATTGAGCAAACCTGTGTGAAGGACCAGCGAGGGATACGATATGTCACCTCCTTTGTGGAGATATATCACTGCCTTTAGGCGATATGTCACGTATTCTAGGGGATATGTCGCCTGAGTTACCCAATTTTATTAGAAACACGCGTTTTGCCCTAGTTTGGTGCCGGGATTTTTATGGAAAGTCAGAAGTGGCTTCTTGGGGACGTGCTGGACATGGAATATAAGGAAGAGGGGCCGAAAACTGAAGGAAGGAGGAGAAAAATGAAAACAAAAATTGCAAAGGAAGAAAATTTGAATTGGAGAGGATTGCAGAGGGAAATTGGAGCGATTCTTCAAAAATTCTAAGCGTTCTTCGTTCTCTTCTTCTCTTTCTTTTTGTATTTTTCTAGATTTCAAATATTATTTCGAGATTCTGAGCCACATGATGTGTGGCTTATTTTCTTAATTGTTAGGGTTTAGATGAATCTCTATTTGTGATTATTGTTTTTACGTTTTAATGTGCATTTAATTAAAGTTCTTCGTTTCTTTCGTGTTCTATTCTAATTTGTTACTATAGGATCACATTGTGATTTTTTAAGTGAAAAATCATTTAAACAACAACAAATTTGTAGGCGAAAATTTCAAAAATTTTCACATATCTTTTAATTCCGAATTAAACACAAATCACAACGATAGATTCATGCATGATATGTTTATGGACAAAAGAATAAAATGACAATCATACCTTTAAGACGATTGGATCAAATATGGCCGCAAGGATCTTGTCTCACTATCTCACGTTCCGAGATGGAGAATTGCCGTGAAACAAGACCGTTGATTTATGAACACGAACACACCAAAAACCACTCGTTGATTCAAGACTATGACTCTTAGTGTTTGGGAGAAGAGAGTGGGCTCTTTTTCAAAAACCTAAGGAAACGATTTTCCTTCCAATTTTTAATCATAAAATCCGGCCACCCTAGAGGAGAGAATATGAGTGAGATATTTTTTCTTAGCCACCTCTAGGGTTTACAATAATATCTCTTTATAGGAAGAAATTCAAAAACTTAACCCTAGATGGGATTTTCGAATTTTTCCTTCATTTTTGGAGCAAAATCCGAATTCTCACTTGCCAAGGGATTTCTGAATTTTCCAAAAATAAAATCAACTCTCTCCCTCCTTTAGTTGCCAAATAAAATCATGTTCAAATTTTATTTTGAATTTTAAATTAATCATCATTAATTTCAAAATTCAAATTCATTCTTTTTTTTTTCAATTATCAAATAAATGAAAAATAACATAATGAATTTATTTAAACATAATTATGTAACAAAACATCAGTTTTAATTTTCCCACTTATTAGAGCTAGCCTTGAGACCGAATGGACCCATATGAACAAAGCTATGGAATTACAATACTCAACTAATTTATCCCGATAAGTTATGGACGTATTTAATTCCGACATCGTACGACTCCACTAAAGGTTCGATGCCGACTAATCTCTCGATTCATATGCGCTACTTTTCTAATAGTGTTAATACAATTTATCACATGGTCCACATAATAAATGCAATATTATCATTCGTAAATATCAGTGACTAGAATGGTATATTAAATTACCGTTTTACCATTCCAGTCATTATTTCCTTAACTCCTTTATATGATTGTGAATAAGAAAGACTTATGTTCGTAAGATGTCTCGCACATGTTACGATGTCTGTGAATCAAAGACCATGAGAAATTAAGTCGAGTTGTGTATTCACTTCAGGATTGAGATAATTACGCAAATATACTTAAGTTGTAATAATTAGGTTTAGAGCTCTGTAAACGGTTTTTACTCTAACCTAATTAGCTACATGGTCTATTCAACATGTTGTGAACATGTCTAGATCAACCACAGAGTCCACCTCCCATGCCCCGAGACCAGCATCACATGGTTCGATCTAACAGTCATAATCGGATTCGATTGCCCAATCGATCCTAAGACTGCGAATATCAATTTTAAACTATATCAGAAGAGCTTGTCCGGCAGGGATTCCCTAACTCTTCTTTCGTTGATAACAGTCTATGGACTAAGCAATATTACTAACACTCTTGAATATGAATCAAAACATAACTTCATTTTATTTATAAACATCAGCAAAATAATGATGTCCGATATTTGCCATTTCATAAATAACAAATTACACCCTACTTTATGAACACATTTCCAACAGTTACTGCCAAATTCATGATTTATATATTGCTATGCTTTGTGAGATTGTGAATTGGGCAAATTTAGATTGTGAGGATTAATACTCGAGAGGGGAACGTTCAAACAATTAAGAAATGGGTAGAACAACTTAGGTTGGTGTGAGGTCGAGAGATAAACATTACCTAGGTAGCCGAAAAAATGTTAGGTTGTGAAATTGAGAAGTGGAATTCCAGAAATTGTTTCTAGAGTGGAACTTAATGAAGGTAGGGGTGAATAGTTGTATAGATATATAGGCTTGATATCGCTTACTTATTCTTTATGTGGCACTCGAGAGAAGGTATAAGGATACACAACACTCTAGGTTCTTGAGAACGTTGAGCTAGGTTAGGCATATTACTACAGAGAAACATAATTGCAATAGAGTGAAGTCGAAACCCTAACATTGCCATCATATTGATTTTCCGTTTTAATTTCAGCGCGTGTTATTCATAACTGTTACCTTTTCTTTTAATTTAGTTTTCCTTTATTTTTAGTTTTTCTTTGAGTTTATCACATTCAAATTTGATCGCTTAGATAAAGTTAAGATATGATAATCACAATAGCTAGTTTATATTCTTAACGTCATTCCTCGTGGGACAATATCGGTCTTTGTACCATTTTATTACTTGTACGACTTATGCACTTGCAAGCATAGTCAAAGTTTTTGCAACAAGTTTTTGGTGCCGTTGCTGGGGATTGAACGGCTAGGATTTAGACTACTATAGTAAAGAAATATCTTGTTTTAATCTAAGTTTTTTTTTTTTATTTGTATTTATTTATCTATTTTTCTTTGGTTGTGTTCGTAGGTGCATGCAAAAAGCATGTGGCTCAGAACTCTTGCCTTTAGATTTAGAAATCAAACGACCTATTTAGGCTTTGAGGAGAGAACAACGGGCTAGGGCTAAAAACATGGCCGGGGGAACAAAACCAATTAGACCAGCGACAGACGTTGCGAGATTATTTCAAGCTTGTGGTGAACGAGAATTATTCAGGCATCCAACGTTAACAAGTCAATGCCAACAACTTCGAGCTCAAGCTGGCCCTCGTCAATATGGTCCAGCAGAACCAATATGGAGGCTTGTCGCATGAGGATCCTAATATCCACTTGGCCACTTTTCTAGAGATTTGTGACACAGTCAAGATTAACAAGGTGAGTGCCGAGATCATCCGCTTGAAACTCTTCCCATTTTCCTTGCGGGATCGGGCTCGGGCATGGCTTCAATATTTACCATCAGGGAGTGTAGCCGAATGGGAGGACATGGCCCAAAAGTTCCTCATTAAATTCTTCCCGCCTTCCAAGACGTCTCAACTGAGAGCCGAGATCACTCAATTTTGGCAGTTTGAGTATGAACAATTATATGAGGCTTGGAAACAGTTCAAAGAGATGGTCTGAAAGTGTCCTCAACATGGTATTGAGGATTGGTTCCAAGTTTAACTATTCTACAATGGGCATACTGGGCAAACTAAGGCCCATATTGATGCAGCGGCCGGTGGAACCATCTTGTCAAAGATACCTGGGGACCCACTCAATCTTTTTGAGGCCATGGCAATGAATAGTTGTCAATGGCAAAACGAGTGGTCCACGGTAAAGAGAGCAACATGAATTTATGATGTGGATCAAACGATGTCTCTTATGGCTCAAATGGCACTCTTGACTAATCAAATCCAAGGTCTTGCCGCAGCCAATGCAAATGGTAATCAAAAAGCGGTAAATATGGCACAAGCTTTGAACTTGAGTGATTCATATGATGAGCAATGTCACTTCATCAACCATAACTACAACTTCAGGCCCAACAACAACTTACCGACATACTATCATCCCGGGCTCCGAAACCATGAGAATTTCTCTTATGCCAACAACCGGAATGTTTTACAACCAACCCTGGAGTCGAATAAACCGGAAATGGAAAAGCCTTCCTCGTCACTTGAAGAGCTTTTGAAGACGTATATTGTGGACTCTAAGGCTCACCTTGATCAACATGACACACGTCTTAACAACATTGAAACTCACTGCATCAACTTGGGGGGCGCTATGAAGGCACTAGAAACACAAGTTGGCCAATTGGCTAATGCTATAAAAGGACAATCATCATGGTCCTTCCCGAGTGACACCGAGAAGAACCCAAAGGAGTGCAAGGCCATCATATTGAGGAGTGGCAAAGACCTTGAAGGCCTTAGGGGTCAAAAAGCCATGGTTGATGAGGAGCCTACTAAGAGCAACAATAACGGTAAGGATAAGTCAATGGAGGGAAACCTAGAGGCCAAGAAGGAACCACCGGTGGTTAGACCAGGTTCGATCACTTTTCTGGATAATCCACCTTGTATCACTCCCCCATTGCCATTCCCTCAATGGTTTCAGAAGAAGGCACTTGACGAGCAATTTGAGAAATTTCTCAACATCTTCAAGAGGATCCACATCAACATTCCTTTCGTGGACGCTCTCGAGCAAATGCCAAACTATGCCAAATTTATGAAGGAGGTTATGTCCAAGAAGCGCAAGCTCGAGGACTATGAGACAATGAAGCTTATGGAAGAATATAACGCTATCATAAATAGACAACTACTGGAGAAATTGAAGGATCCGGGTAGTTTTACCATCCCATGCATCATTGGAGAACTTCACATTGAGAAGGCCTTGTGTGATCTTGGGGCTAGCATCAATCTCATGCCTCTCTCTATCTTCCGGAAACTCAACCTTGGAGAGATCACACCTACCACCATCTCACTACAATTGGCGGACTGCTCTCTCACCTACGCTAAAGGTATTATCAAGGATGTCTTGGTTAAAATAAATAAATTCATTTTTCCAATTGACTTTGTGGTGTTAGACATGGAGGAGGAGCAAGAAATTCTTATTATTCTGGGCCTACCTTTTCTTGCTACCAGGAAGGCTTTGATTGATGTCCGTGATGGTAACTTGACACTTCGGGTGAACGGCGAAGAGGTAAAGTTCAACATTAGTAACGCCATGAAATTTCCGGAAGAGCAACCAAGTTGTAACCTGGTGGATGTAGTGGTAACCGGGTGGATGTGGTGGCAAAGAAAGGTGGCATGACGGTAGTGAAGAAAGAGAAAAATGAGCTCATTTCAACTCGCACGGTAACGGGGTGGTGAGTGTGAATTGATTATAAGAAGCTCAACTTTGATTTGAAGGCCTCGGGAAAGAAAAGACTCCTTCAACTCAATGAATTAGAGGAGATTCATAATGAGGCGTATGAGAATGTGAGGATTTACATGGAGCGCATAAAGCAATGGCATGACAAGAGGATCCTCCGCCGCGACTTCATTCCGGGAGAGAAGGTACCTCTATTCAACTCTCATCTTAAACTCTTTTCCGAAAAACTCAAATCTCGATGGTCCGATCCATTCATGGTTACGCAAGTCTTTCCATTCGGCGCTGTTGAGATACAAAGAAGAGATGAACCTGCCTTCAAAGTGAACGGACAATGCCTTAAACACTATTTTAGAGGCGAGGTGGAGAAGATTACGAGTCTCAAGCTTGTTGAGGACATTTGAAGCATGAGGTACTATGTCTAGCTAAGGACTTTAAACGTAGCGCTTTGTGGGAGGCAACCCACATATGAGTTTTTGTTGATTCTGTGTTAATGGGTTTCATTCTAAAAAAAAAGAAGAAGTAAATCAGGAAAGGGGGACAGAATGACAGGCGATATGTCGCCTGTCAATAGGCAATATGTCGCCTGAAGGATTTTGACAGCCATATTAGTCTCCGGGAACCTCAGATGGCAAACCCGACGGTGGAATTGATGATGCTGGATAAGGTATGGCCGATAACACTTAGACCGGCCGGGAGGTATTGTTTTTTTTTTCCTTTGCCCTTTGAGTTTTTACACTGAACAGTGGGGACACTGTTCCTCTTAAGTTTGGGGGGGGGGGGGGGGGGGGGGGGGGGGTGTTCTACCTGTTGATGTTCTTTTTGCAGGGTAGGTAGGTTTCAATTTATTTTGAGATTTTGATGTTTTATTTATCTTGGCATTTGTACCGAACTGAGTGTTGTATTACATATGACTTTGGGCTTCGATGATGACTTCACGCTAAGCCCTCTTCTTTCATTCGGTATGTGTTTCTATATCTTTGACTGTGTGCTTGATCTATCATGCTTGCTTTTGATGTTGTTATCTCTATTTATGAGCACATGTCTATCTATTTTTCCTTATACGCTATGTGGCTTTGTGTGCAATTTTGAGACTTTTTATCACAATGAGAACACTAGAACTTACCTGAATGACTTGTCGAGGTGAAATCCTAGGTCTTTGTTGTGTTGATAGGATAAAGGCCCTCTTTGGACCGTTTGAGCTAAAAAGCTAACCTGAGCAACATGTTATCCATAGAGTCCCTCTTTGAGCCAAAAAAAAAGAAAAAAAACTGGATTCATTTGTTTTACTGCCTGAGAACCTGAGCCTTGCAATGTATCAAACATTACCTTCACCTACTCACCTTGGCATCACACGTGACCCTTTCACCGAGCTTCGAATGCCTGGCCAGCGAGAGTCATTAAGTGAGGAGTTTTCTGAGACCGTCCTTGAACCTTTACATTCATCCCTCACCATTATAAATGCCAATTTGACTTTGTGTTCTAAAAAAACAAAAAAAATAAAAAAAAAACAAAAAAAAACAAAAAAAAAGGAAAAAAAAAGAATTCAAGTTTAGGGATCGATCATAGTGGGGGATAGTGTTTATGGATGTTACATTCGAAGGTGAAGAGGTGAATCTAGAAGTAAAGGGCATTGGTTTCTGTTCTGTGAATGGAGGAGTCTATTATTACCACCGTGCTTGTCTAGGGTGAGTCTACTTTTCTTTTTTTGATTCTCATCTATCCTTCACCCCAGCCTAACATTACAAGCCGAGTAAAGTCCTCTTGATCTCCATGACATTTGACCTACATTAGTGGAGATGAGTCAGACGGGTGAGCCTATGGTCGTTCCGTTTTAATGTTTATCTTGCGATTTGTCTTGATACACATGAGTCACATTTGTGTTTAGGTCTTGTAGAGATGATTTGCACACACTTACACGGAGATGACAGTGTCAGAAGTTGAGTATTGATGGGTTGAAATTCTGGTCCTTTTCCAGATTCACATATCAGGTGGGTGAAGAGGTGTTTGGTAATTTGAGATAATATGCCTGAAGTCTATGTTTACACTCTCAGTCAATTCACCTTTATTTCTTTTGTTTTGCTTTTAGTTCATCATTTTAGGTTGTGTCGTTTCGTGTTCTTTTGTCCATTTTCCATTTTATGTTTTATTTTATATTAGGTTTTTCTGCTTAAGGACAAGCAGCCGTTCAAGTTTGGGGGTGTGATGAGTGCATAATTTATGCACTCATTTGTTACTCCTTTAGCTAGTTTCAGCATGTTTTTCCTCAAGTTGTTATGTGGATTTGATGATTCTCCCTTGAGTGTGCAGGAATGGGTGAAATTGTTGAGTTTTTAGGCATTTTGGATCAAAAAGACAGAGAACGAGGCGATATGGTGCCTACAGATGGCGACACGACGTGAAAAGGAGCAAAATTGAGCAAACCTGTACGAAGGACCAGCGAGGGATGCGATATGTCGCCTCCTTTGTGGAGATATGTCGCTGCCTTTAGGCGATATGTCGCCTATTCTAGGGGATATGTCGCCCGAGTTACCTGATTTTATTAGAAACACGCGTTTTGCCCTAGTTTGGTGCGGGGATTTTTATGGAAAGTCAGAATTGGCTTCTTGGGGACGTGCTGGACGTGGAATATAAGGAAGAGGGGCCGAAAACTGAAGGAAAGAGGAGAAAAATGAAAACAAAAATTGCAAAGGAAGAAAATTTGAATTGGAGAGGATTCCAGAGGGAAATTGGAGCGTTTCTTCAAGAATTCTAAGCGTTCTTCATTCTCTTCTTCTCTTTCTTTCTGTATTTTTCTAGATTTTGAATATTATTTAGAAATTGTGAGCCACATGATGTGTGGCTAATTTTCTTAATTGTTAGGGTTTAGATGAATCTCTATTTGTGATTATTGTTTTTACGTTTTAATGTGCATTTAATTAAAGTTCTTCGTTTCTTTCGTGTTCTATTCTGTTTTGTTGCTGCCAAATTCATGATTTATATATAGCTATGCTTTGTGAGATTGTGAATTGGGCAAATTTAGATTGTGAGGATTAATACTCGAGAGGGGAACGTTCAAGCAATTAAGAAATGGGTAGAACAACTTAGGTTGGTGTGAGGTTGAGAGATAAACATTGCCTAGGTAGCCGAAACAATTTTAGGTTGTGAAATTGAGAAGTGGAATTCCAGAAATTATTTCTAGAGTGGAACTTAATGAAGGTAGGGGTGAATAGTTGAGATATAGGCTTGATATCACTTACATATTCTTTATGCGGCACTCGAGAGACGGTATAAGGATACACAATACTCTAGGTTCTTGAGA